CATCAGAGGACAGGTCAGTGAAGGCACCATCAGAGGACAGGTCAGTGAATGCACCATCAGAGGACAGGTCAGTGAAGGCACCATCAGAGGACAGGTCAGTGAAGGCACCATCAGAGGACAGGTCAGTGAAGGCACCATCAGAGGACAGGGCAGTGAAGGCACCATCAGAGGACAGGGCAGTGAAGGCACCATCAGAGGACAGGGCAGTGAATGCACCATCAGAGGACAGGTCAGTGAAGGCACCATCAGAGGACAGGTCAGTGAAGGCACCATCAGAGGACAGGTCAGTGAAGGCACCATCAGAGGACAGGGCAGTGAAGGCACCATCAGAGGACAGGGCAGTGAAGGCACCATCAGAGGACAGGGCAGTGAATGCACCATCAGAGGACAGGGCAGTGAATGCACCATCAGAGGACAGGGCAGTGAATGCACCATCAGAGGACAGGGCAGTGAAGGCACCATCAGAGGACAGGGCAGTGAATGCACCATCAGAGGACAGGGCAGTGAATGCACCATCAGAGGACAGGGCAGTGAATGCACCATCAGAGGACAGGGCAGTGAATGCACCATCAGAGGACAGGGCAGTGAATGCACCATCAGAGGACAGGGCAGTGAATGCACCATCAGAGGACAGGGCAGTGAATGCACCATCAGAGGACAGGGCAGTGAATGCACCATCAGAGGACAGGGCAGTGAATGCACCATCAGAGGACAGGGCAGTGAATGCACCATCAGAGGACAGGGCAGTGAATGCACCATCAGAGGACAGGGCAGTGAATGCACCATCAGAGGACAGGGCAGTGAATGCACCATCAGAGGACAGTGGCAGTGAATGCACCATCAGAGGACAGGGCAGTGAATGCACCATCAGAGGACAGGGCAGTGAATGCACCATCAGAGGACAGGGCAGTGAATGCACCATCAGAGGACAGGGCAGTGAATGCACCATCAGAGGACAGGGCAGTGAATGCACCATCAGAGGACAGGGCAGTGAATGCACCATCAGAGGACAGGGCAGTGAATGCACCATCAGAGGACAGGGCAGTGAATGCACCATCAGAGGACAGGGCAGTGAATGCACCATCAGAGGACAGGGCAGTGAATGCACCATCAGAGGACAGGGCAGTGAATGCACCATCAGAGGACAGGGCAGTGAATGCACCATCAGAGGACAGGGCAGTGAATGCACCATCAGAGGACAGGGCAGTGAATGCACCATCAGAGGACAGGGCAGTGAATGCACCATCAGAGGACAGGGCAGTGAATGCACCATCAGAGGACAGGGCAGTGAATGCACCATCAGAGGACAGGGCAGTGAATGCACCATCAGAGGACAGGGCAGTGAATGCACCATCAGAGGACAGGGCAGTGAATGCACCATCAGAGGACAGGGCAGTGAATGCACCATCAGAGGACAGGGCAGTGAATGCACCATCAGAGGACAGGGCAGTGAATGCACCATCAGAGGACAGGGCAGTGAATGCATGCACCATCAGAGGACAGGGCAGTGAATGCACCATCAGAGGACAGGGCAGTGAATGCACCATCAGAGGACAGGGCAGTGAATGCACCATCAGAGGACAGGGCAGTGAATGCACCATCAGAGGACAGGGCAGTGAATGCACCATCAGAGGACAGGGCAGTGAATGCACCATCAGAGGACAGGGCAGTGAATGCACCATCAGAGGACAGGGCAGTGAATGCACCATCAGAGGACAGGGCAGTGAATGCACCATCAGAGGACAGGGCAGTGAATGCACCATCAGAGGACAGGGCAGTGAATGCACCATCAGAGGACAGGGCAGTGAATGCACCATCAGAGGACAGGGCAGTGAATGCACCATCAGAGGACAGGGCAGTGAATGCACCATCAGAGGACAGGGCAGTGAATGCACCATCAGAGGACAGGGCAGTGAATGCACCATCAGAGGACAGGGCAGTGAATGCACCATCAGAGGACAGGGCAGTGAATGCACCATCAGAGGACAGTGGCAGAGGTGAATGCACCATCAGAGGACAGGGCAGTGAATGCACCATCAGAGGACAGGGCAGTGAATGCACCATCAGAGGACAGGGCAGTGAATGCACCATCAGAGGACAGGGCAGTGAATGCACCATCAGAGGACAGGGCAGTGAATGCACCATCAGAGGACAGGGCAGTGAATGCACCATCAGAGGACAGGGCAGTGAATGCACCATCAGAGGACAGGGCAGTGAATGCACCATCAGAGGACAGGGCAGTGAATGCACCATCAGAGGACAGGGCAGTGAATGCACCATCAGAGGACAGGGCAGTGAATGCACCATCAGAGGACAGGGCAGTGAATGCACCATCAGAGGACAGGGCAGTGAACGCACCATCAGAGGACAGGGCAGTGAACGCACCACGACCATCCAAGAAGTTGTTTCAGGCTGCGTTCGATTTCACACATGCCTCGAGTCTCCAATTCAGAAGAAACTTTATTGATCTCTCACTGGAGAAATGTACAAGTTAAATTATCAGGTCAATAATTATAGGGAAAGACGTTTAAGGGAAATGTTTCTTAGTTTTCTGTAGCTTCAGCAGTTTTCTATAATCGTGTTTTAAGCCTTTGACAGTTTAATGTTTCTAAATCTGTTAAAATAGTAACATCAAGTTTACTCTAACCCACGGAGGGTCATTTGTGTTTCATTAAACTAGACGTAAATATACAAATAAAATGTATAGTATTCAACTTCTACGAGACAATAATAGGTCAAGTTTACATTTATTGAAGCAAATTCTAGATTTTCCAGATTTACCTCAGATATGTATTCTTAGGTTGTGTTTATATTTGTAAAAGTATTATTGATGTCGCATGTTTGACCCTCTCCTTTACTTTCAGTTCATTCATTTATCATGAGTCTCTAAAGGCAGAAGTCTCAAAGCTAAACTCTGGTGCTTGCTTTTGCCTCTTGGCAGGTGTTTGCGTGTGAACAGGGCCCGGCTGCAGGAGCCCATCCTGCAGAGAGCCTGTGAGCGGAGCCTGGTCCAGTACGAAGACCTGGGACTCCCTCTGGAACTCACTCTGTGGGTGGACCCTGGAGAGGTGTCCTGCAGGTCAGACCCTGTAGACCCAGGACTGTGAGGCTGTAGACCCCAGGACTGTGAGGCTGTAGACCCTGTAGACCCCAGGACTGTGAGGCTGTAGACTCTGTAGACCCCAGGACTGTGAGGCTGTAGACCCTGTAGACCCCAGGACTGTGAGGCTGTAGACCCTGTAGACCCCAGGACTGTGAGGCTGTAGACTCTGTAGACCCCAGGACTGTGAGGCTGTAGACCCTGTAGACCCCAGGACTGTGAGGCTGTAGACTCTGTAGACCCCAGGACTGTGAGGCTGTAGACCCCAGGACTGTGAGGCTGTAGACTCTGTAGACCCCAGGACTGTGAGGCTGTAGACCCTGTAGACCCCAGGACTGTGAGGCTGTAGTGTAGACTCTGTAGACCCCAGGACTGTGAGTCTGTAGACCCTGTAGACCCCAGGACTGTGAGTCTGTAGACCCTGTAGACCCCAGGACTGTGAGTCTGTAGACCCTGTAGACCCCAGGACTGTGAGTCTGTAGTGTAGACTCTGTAGACCCCAGGACTGTGAGGCTGTAGACTCTGTAGACCCCAGGACTGTGAGGCTGTAGACCCTGTAGACCCCAGGACTGTGAGGCTGTAGACCCTGTAGACCCCAGGACTGTGAGTCTGTAGACCCTGTAGACCCCAGGACTGTGAGTCTGTAGACCCTGTAGACCCCAGGACTGTGAGTCTGTAGACCCTGTAGACCCCAGGACTGTGAGTCTGTAGACCCTGTAGACCCCAGGACTGTGAGTCTGTAGTCCCTGTAGACCCCAGGACTGAGAGGCTGTAGACCCGGGGACTCTTGAGACTGTAGATCCAGTTCAGTCTCCTCTGTTCTGTGCAGATACGGAGAGCACAGCGCCCCCTTCTGTGTGTCTGTGGTAAACGGCGGGCGACGTGCCGACGGTGATTTCTCGCGGCGCATTCACGACGCGGTGGAACGGGCGAGTTTGGAGATCCAGTCTGGGAGCTCGGACGAGGAGGACGCCGCCGAGCTGAGTCTGAGCAGCAGCAGCAGTAACCAGTCCTCTGTCTGTCCCACCCCCAACCCCCCCGAGACCGAGACCAAGACCATCCCCACCGTCAGCAACCCCAACAGCGTGTACCGGGTCAGTCTGCGACACACACTTCAGTCTTTCACTGAATTTAACAAATATTATGTATATATCTACTGTATATATTACTCAATAAGTATGAATATAGGGTCAGACCAGGCAGGTCCAAACTCAGGCCCGGGGGCATGTACGGCCCTCTGCTTTGGGTTAGCGAGGCAGTCTTTGAGATCATACACACATGTTCACTGTGTCATCCATCCAACTTCAGCTCAGACAATAGACCTCGTTCTAAAGCCCAGTCTTTAATTCAGTCGCATACTTTAATTGTACATATTTTACTAACGTGGTTTTCATTTCTGTTGGTGCCTCTGAAGCTGGTGAGATGGTAAACATGTGTCAGCCAAATGACGGAAAGATTGTTCCTGATTTAAATCCTGTTCGAGAGGACACGACTTGTAAATCCAGTCATGAGCCTGAACAACTGACAAGTCATAATCTACATCTATACAGGCCTTACATTTTTCATAGAAAAGTCTAAACCAGTAATTTCCAATCCTTAAATGTGACGCAAACCTAGTTTACTTTTCAACGTAAGTGAATAGGAGCCAGAGCGAGGTGGAGCAAAACCTCGCCCATGAGCACTTTCCTGTTGGGCTCAGCAAGACTCACTCTCAGCCTTTTACAACAGACCAGACAGATCTCCTGTCTGTCTGGTCTGATCTTCCCACCTCTGCACCTTCTCCACCGACTCCCACTGATGACTGCTGTCGTTGTGTCCTTGGGCAAGACACTTAACCCCACTTTGCCCAAAGCCCCCACTGAAAGATCAAGGCTATGCTCACAGTCAGAGAGCAGCCGTCCTCCTGTGGACTCACCACCTGCAGAGGGTCAGTGAGGGGCTGGTGCTATGAGACTTGGGTGGCATCTCTGACTGCCACCCCCCTGACCCAGAAATGGATTAAAGGGAAGAAAATGGATGGATGGATGGACAGACAGATCTCACTGCAGTCTGTTCACATCAGGGCGTAGGTTCAGATCCCTCCCATTCAACAAGAGGCACCTCCAGCTTCCTCGCTCCTCACTCCTTTAAACGTCTGGAGACCTGTTTTATAATGTATTTATATTAGATGTTTATGTACCCACACTGGTGCTGTCTGTAAACGTTTCTTGCGAATTAATAAAGTTATTTGAATTGAATTTGAATTGAGTGAACGGGTAGTGGCCACCGTGAAGGCAGTGATAGTTTATAGCACAGTTCAAACCTCAGGAAAGACCTTTGGCTTCTATAAACACGGTCTCTCTCTAAACCCTGCTTCATCTTGTGTCCTCAGTTCAGCGAGTTTGCCCCTGGAGCCCCGCAGACCTGGCTCACGTACCCGAAGAGGAAGCCCTTCTCTGGGGACGCCTTCCCGCCGCTGCCCCCTCCTTCTGCTCCAGCGCCACAGTTCCCCGTCCAGAAAACCCTCAAGTCGTACCGAGCCTCGTTCACGTTCACCGGGCCCAGAGTCGACAAGTACCACTGGGTCAGCAAGTCCCGCTCGTAACCTCAGCAAAACAGAAAACAGATTTTTCCCTTTTTTTTTCTTTTTGTGACCGTTTTTTTGTCTTTAAAAGTAACACTTAATAATTATTGAATGATTTAACTCTGTGCGATTCCAGCACGTTTTTAAATGGCTGACGAAATGTTTTAAAAGCTCTAAATGTAAATGTTTTAAATTATAAATGAAGGAAATGTGAATAAAGTAAAGTTGAGCTGTTTCTGAAAAATAAAAGCGTCCTTTCAGTTCAAACTCTCGTTTTGGATTAATTCACTTCAATGTTTTTGTATCGCCCTGAACCACAACAGAAGATTCTCCAGCGCAGATCAGAGAATCGAACGCATGTTGCTTTGGGTGGTTTTCTGAATAGTTTTTCCCGACGTTTAAGAATGTAGTGACTATTTGTCAAAAAATATACTATCAAACCAAATGTAACCAAACTCAAATAATCACTAGAATGCACCATGGGTAAGTGGTTTACGCAGTATAAACAATCGTCCATTCCAAAAATGTAAAGTTCAAAAAGGGTTTTCATCAAGTTGCAGCAAACACAAAAATGCTGCATCTCCCGGAACTGGTAAAAAACCATAGGCCCGCCCAGGACCATGAAGGCCCGCCCAGGACCATGAAGGCCCGCCCAGGACCATGAAGGCCCGCCCTGTACTGCCCCCTTATATCCACTAGGTGCCACTAAACTAAAAATGAAACCAAAAAGAAGTAAACTCAAAATCTACAAAAATATCTCAATTACCAAAAAACAAAAATACTAACCTCAGAAAAAAATAACGAAATATAGAAAAATATACAAAACCCCAAATTAATTGAATCAATCAAGCAAATAGCTCCTACACAGAAATGGGTTAATTTGGAAAAAGAATTTGTAAAGATCCTCCTGCTCCATTCTTCGTGTCTTTCATTATGACACTAAAATGTATCTGGCTTTTCTGAAAAATGACTTGAAATGAAAATACATTTCAACTGCAAAAATTAGCATGATTAGTTTTAGTGATGTCAAGTTTATCTAAGAACTCTACAAAGTTCTAACACTATAATATGCACATTTCAAACCAGTACCTCCCAGTATTTATATAATGGAATAATTCAAGTATTAAAAGTATTCCATATTATGACTTATTTTGTTCATTTTGCAGCACAGAGGTTCAGTTCATACCAACAGGTTACAATATAAACTTTTCGAACGCAACCCACTGTTTTCAGGCTTCTAGACTGGACTATGCCCTGTGTATACTGTGCTATACTTATATCATTGACTGCATTATAAAGTGGGCTGTTGTCATTCCTGAAGACCACCCGGAAGCTTCTCAAATTCTTAAAATAAACTCATTACATTCGTTTAAAGGCCTTGAGTCACCAGCTCTGTATGGCCAACGGGCACATGTAGCAGTAGTAGTAGTCATGGCAACAATACAAACGCGTTCCATTGAGAAAACAAAATCCCTTAAAAATAAAACAAATTAATCACAATATTGAACTCTAAACGCTACTTTTCGCCTTCTTTCATTTATAAACTCATGATTCCTGTAACTTTTCCTCTTTCTGTTGCAATTTTGACCCGGGGCCGATGATCAACCAATCCCCGCGTGTTTAAAACCACCAGGAAGTCCCCGACAGCCAATCAGCGCCGCCGTTGCTGTGACGTGGCTGCAGATTGTCCTCCTTTCCGGTCGCACATATCTTGCCACGAGTTAGCGGCGGTTTCGGAGCGTGTCCATTTTGAGCAGCGATCCGACGTTTCTCCACATTTCAATTCATAGTAAGCACTAATCTTTTACGTTTCTAGACCAGACCAAGACACAACAGCAGAGGCATGTCCCACAAAGCCCAGTTCATCACTGTTTGTGTTGTAACCGCGGGGACTGTGCGGATGCTAACGCGTTAGCCGCTAACAAAGCTAAGGAAGCTAGGTGGCGTTAGCATCGGCGCGATTCATTGCTTTTCTCGCTTATTTCTGCTATTTCTCAGTGTGTTTACCCGCTCCATCACTCCCATGCATGCTTACCGTCCGTTTATGAAGATTGTGCATAACATTATTCTCAGTATTTTATTGAAATAAAGTAGTTTTTTGCTGCAGGGCCTTTGATCCTCCGCGGTGTGAGAGCCTTTGATAGCGCGCTGTTATTAGCCTTATTACTGCTTTTTATGTGGATTCTGACCTTTTTAGCACAAATCTATAAATAATTGAAGTTGCAGTGTTTTCGTGTGGATTGTATCCGTGCATATTTGAAGTAGCTTCGTGTTTTTCGCTACAATGTGACGGAACCGGTACATTTCAATTGTTTATGAATGAACCCAAATCTCTCACTTTCGCCTCATTCTGATACAAAACTCATGCTACTGTCACTGTCTGGTTGATTTACGATTCATTTGTTTGTTATGGAAACCTCTACAACATATTACTATCCCCATTTACATTATACTATGATACTTTTAACTTTATGTTGCTTCTTTTGAACTATTTATATAAAAGTCTTGTGTCTTCTGTTCAACACAACGGTTCAGTGATGACTTTAGTGTCAGTCCAATCCCGCCAAATGTCTTGGTATTTTTCAGGTCAAAGCAGCTGCAGTCACTGAGGTCCATTCATAAAAACACAGAGCAAAGGAACAATGCATTTGTCACTTTTCAAACGTAGAAAGATCTTGAATATTTTCTGTGTGAGATTTGTTTAAAGTAAATCCTCGTGTTTTTGTTGTGCATAAAGTGTTTTTAACTTAAATTTGTTTTTGCCATAAACGTCATAAATGTGTGGGTCTTAAATGAAATGCGTCTGATCATGAATTCATTCAATAGTTTTTAATCAACACACTGTTGTTCTGCCCACTGTCTTTAATATAGACTCGGTTCTCGCTTCCTGATGCACCAACATTAATCCTATTGGCAGATTTTAGCATTGTATGAAAGTCTGATAAAGTTGGAAAGAACGCGAAGTAGAAAATCACAAACGTTCACATATTTATATACAAAATGAATACAAATCCTATTAGCAGTCATTTTTCTAGTAGATTGATTGATTATGCAGCTGAAACATGTTAAAGTGATAGATCTAACTTGTCTTAAAGAACCACAAAAACATATTTAACTAAAGTTAGTTTAAACTGAGGTCACGGTGAAGGCTCCGAGATAAAGAAGATTTAACATAAACAATACCACTGTTTTAGTTCCAACGTCTGACTCTTCGTCTTAACCTCTCGGTAACAAAAGCAGTTTCCTCCTCAGCGTCTTCTTTTGGAGCCGACGCGACAAAATGGCCGATTCTGAGACTCTGTTGATGGAGACGTCGGATCAGAACGGCGCCGAGGACGAGAACGGAGCCGAGGCCATGGCGGAAGACAACGACGACGGGAACAAGATCGACGCCAGCAAAACGGAGGAGGACGCAGGGTGAGTGTCAGGCGCGCACGCACACACACACTGACAGACACACACTGACAGATACACTCACATAGATACACACACACACTGACAGATACTCACACACACACATACTGACAGATACTCACACATACATACACTGACAGATACACTCACATAGATACACACACACTGACAGACACACACTGACAGATACACTCACATAGATACACACACACACTGACAGATACTCACACACACACATACTGACAGATACTCACACATACATACACTGACAGATACACTCACATAGATACACACACACTGACAGACACACACTGACAGATACACTCACATAGATACACACACACACTGACAGATACTCACACACACACACACTGACAGATACACACATACATACACTGACAGATACACTCACATAGATACACACACACTGACAGACACACACTGACAGATACACTCACATAGATACACACACACACTGACAGATACTCACACATACACACACTGACAGATACACACACACACACACACACTGACAGATACACGCATATACACACACATACATACACTGACAGATACACACACATAGATACACACATACATACACTCACACAGATGCACGCGCACTGACAGATACACACACATAGATACACACATACAATCACACAGACACACACTGATAGATACACTCACATACATACACACATACATACACTGACAGATACTCGCACAGATACACACATACACTCACAGATGCACTCAAACACAGATACTTGCATAGACGCACACACACTGACGCACACAGATGCACGCACACACTGACACACACTGGTTCATGTACGAGGTCACACAAACTCCTGAACCTTGAGCACAAACGTCTTCAGATTAGAGCGCTGGGTTTTGAGTGCGACAAAATATCGAGATTAAAACCCAGAACGTGTGCGTCTCAGAGAAAAGTGTTACTGTGTTTTATAAACGTGACACTGTCCAGAAGCATCTCAGATTTTAAAGCAGAGCTCTCTGGTCTTTTCCTTTTGGATAACTGCCGTAATAACAAACTGCAGCAGTCGTAATTCTACTGTAATCTAACAACTAAATCTAAATCACAGAATATACCAGTAATACAACTTTATACTGCAGTAATGCACAAGTTACATAGAGTAGAATAGTAATGAGTCAAAAGTGAATTGTTCAGGAGCTACATGAGGAGAGCTACATGAAAACTTAACTCTGCTCTGATCTCTGCAGATGAACTTCCAACGTACCTAAAACAAACGAGGCTCAGATAAACCCGGGAGAAGAAAACTCTTATAAATGAAACGTTTTAATTGTTTTATGTAGATTATTCATCTGTGACAGTTCCACAGTCGCAGATCATAAAGCAGAGCGTCCAAACTCTACAATAATGTCATTTGTGCAGAACTGAAGCACTCGTCAGAAACATGCTGTAACAGCTCAAGTAATGTTTGGACACTATCACAATTCTCCTTTAGTCGCACAAGTGAATATTAATATTATTTATAGAACAACTCCATTCATAATGAGAAGCAGAGTATATTCTTGTGCAAAGACATTGAAACTTATTGTATACATCTATAGTATTCTAGTGCAGGGATATTAAAGTGAGTCTTGAGGCTGAAGCTCGTTCTTTCTCCTAAACTCAAAGATTTGATTCAGGGGCAGGTTTTTACTTCACAATATTTGGCTTAACGTGAATCAATTATCAAAGCAGAAATCACAGATCAATCAATCTGGGGCAAAAAAAAATAAAAAAAAATAAATATATATATATATATATATATATATATTAATTAGCCCTTTGGTTGAGTGCCCTGTTTCATCCAAGTTCTGTTCTGGGTTTGGTTTTAATAAATCTAATTTCTCACGTCATGTTTTAGTCTTAGTCTGTTGTAAAGTCTTAGTCTGTTGTAAAGTCTAACTCGAGACACATGTGTAACTAAAGTGGTGATCCGGTCGCACTAGCATTGACTTGTAATCCTAGTGTGTCGTGTGTTGGCAGTAAAATGTTCGTGGGCGGCCTGAGCTGGGACACCAGTAAGAAGGACCTGAAGGACTATTTCTCCAAGTTTGGGGAAGTGACGGACTGCACCATCAAAGGAGAACCCAGCTCCGGACGGTCCCGCGGCTTCGGCTTCGTCCTGTTCAAAGACCCGGCCAGCGTGGAGAAGGTGAGCGCTTTGGGGACGGCCCGATGGCTCTGATTGGCCCATGTCAAACTTGTTATTTTATCCAAAGGGGCGGGGCATATTTTCTTAACTATATGAATGATGACATATTGTATATAATTTATATTTCACGCACTTTGTTCTAGGGCTGCACAGTATTGGAGCGATATTCGATATTTAGTATTTTGATAACGATATTATTGCGGATTTGCATTTGCATTGAAACACACAACAATGACTACATTAATGACATTCAAATGTTTATATACTTTTCGTTTGTTCTTGTTGAATGTTGATGTGTTTTGTTTTAAGACAAAAACTGCATCTTTTTGATCGTACGCACTAATATTGCGATAACAATATTTTGATGCAGCCCTACTGTGTTCCTGTTTGCACAGTCATTCTGTTTTTGAAAGACAAGTATAATTCATTTTAGTTAAATTATTTTTGGTAACGAGGAATTAAAAAGCACAAAAGCAAAGACTACTTTAAGTCTTTGGGGTTCAATAATTTGTCATATTTGTTTTTGTATTTATCCTGTAATATAAATGCGATACATCGAATATCGAGGAACATACTTTTTGCCTGAACATAAAAGATAAATACCGCTGCAGCCAAACGACTTTAAATAAACGCTGATCTTAGTTCAGGGAGAAGTCTTTGTACTGAGGGTAAATGTTTGCAGGTGCTGGAGGTGAAGGAGCACAAACTCGACGGGCGCCAGATTGACCCCAAACGAGCCATCGCTATAAAGAAAGAAGGCTCCAAGAAGATCTTTGTGGGAGGAATGAAGCCGGAGACGTCGGAAGAGAAAATCAGGGAATACTTCGAAGCTTACGGAGAGGTGTGTGGGACGCTCTGCATCACGGTCACGTACATGTGTTATTAAAATGAGGTATAACAGGCCATGGCAGCCATTTTAACAGGTCACATCACTGCTGTTTAATAATAATAATGACACTTTTATTGTCGTCCCTGCGGTGATGAGCAGACACGGGTCTAAACTGCCGCCCACCTTTCCCCGACACTAACCTAGTTTTGACTTTCAGCTGGACTCCATAGAACTCCCGATGGACACAAAGTCACAGAAACGCAGAGGATTCATCTTCGTCTCGTTTAAAGAAGAGTCCTGCGTCAAGAAGGTTCTGGAGAAGAAGTTTCACACCATCGAGAGCAGCACGGTGAGTCCCAGCCGCGGTTATTTAAGAGGCGGGGATTCTGGATCTGCTCCGGAGCGCTCCAGAACTACAGGGTCGATGCTAATGTGCTGTCGGTTAATACGATTTAAAGAGTAGTTTGTCTGAGTGTGTTCTGCTCCAGGCTTCTACCACGGGCACCTTTCAAAACCTTAAAGCTACAGCCGCAGTTGGAGAAAACAAAAGCAGTCGCACTCACTGCAGATGACACGCTGCGGTGGTGTCGTCGCGCTGCTGCGGTGGTGACGTAGCGCTGCTGCGGTGGTGACGTAGCGCTGCTGCGGTGGTGACGTAGCGCTGCTGCGGTGGTGACGTAGCGCTGCTGCGGTGGTGACGTAGCGCTGCTGCGGTGGTGTCGTCGCGCTGCTGCGGTGGTGACGTAGCGCTGCTGCGGTGGTGACGTAGCGCTGCTGCGGTGGTGACGTAGCGCTGCTGCGGTGGTGTCGTCGCGCTGCTGCGGTGGTGACGTAGCGCTGCTGCGCGGTGGTGACGTCGCGCTGCTGCGGTGGTGACGTCGCGCTGCTGCGGTGGTGTCGTCGCGGTGGTGCGGTGGTGACGTCGCGCTGCTGCGGTGGTGACGTCGCGCTGCTGCGGTGGTGTCGTCGCGCTGCTGCGGTGGTGACGTAGCGCTGCTGCGGTGGTGACGTCGCGCTGCTGCGGTGGTGACGTCGCGCTGCTGCGGTGGTGACGTAGCGCTGCTGCGGTGGTGACGTAGCGCTGCTGCGGTGGTGACGTAGCGCTGCTGCGGTGGTGACGTAGCGCTGCTGCGGTGGTGACGTAGCGCTGCTGCGGTGGTGACGTAGCGCTGCTGCGGTGGTGACGTAGCGCTGCTGCGGTGGTGACGTAGCGCTGCTGCGGTGGTGTCGTCGCGGTGGTGACGTCGCGCTGCTGCGGTGGTGACGTAGCGCTGCTGCGGTGGTGTCGTCGCGGTGGTGCGGTGGTGACGTCGCGCTGCTGCGGTGGTGACGTAGCGCTGCTGCGGTGGTGTCGTCGCGGTGGTGCGGTGGTGACGTCGCGCTGCTGCGGTGGTGACGTAGCGCTGCTGCGGTGGTGACGTAGCGCTGCTGCGGTGGTGACGTAGCGCTGCTGCGGTGGTGACGTCGCGCTGCTGCGGTGGTGACGTAGCGCTGCTGCGGTGGTGACGTAGCGCTGCTGCGGTGGTGACGTAGCGCTGCTGCGGTGGTGTCGTGCTGTAAACACTTTGTGACTGAAAGAAAAACAAACTCTTTATTGAACTGAATTAATTCTGTCAAAGCAACAGAAGCAGAAACGTCTGTTTAGACTCAAATACTTTCTTTGGAGATTAAATATAAACTTCAAACCAAACCGAGGCACATGTAGAACGTGTGAACTGTGACATTAACCGTTTTACAAAAGACCTTTTTTCATTAATATTGAAGGAAATGTATTTTAACCCTCGGGTAAAACGACCGCCAGTGATTTCAAGGTAGAAGAAGAAAAGTCTAAACTGAGGCCCGGGGCTCATGGTATGAAGTCATCAAAACTTAGCTTTAAATAAAAGCTTAACACAAACATATCCAGCGTTTTATTATTCTTAGTTCATTCTTATTCAGAGCCTTTGGACCCTAATCTGGAGTATTTTTCTCCTACCTCTCGCTCTGTTGTGGTTTTGGCTAATCCTGTGTTTTGTTGTTGTCAGTGTGAGTTGAAGCGCGCTCAGCCCAGAGAGCAGTACCAGCAGCAGCGCGGAGGCTACGGCGGGCGCAGCGGCCGAGGAGGCGGCGGAGGTCGGTCACCGTCAGAATGGACCAAAATGGTGGAACACGCACAAATATATAAAAATGTGTATCATTGCATTTGTTTCAGGCGGAGGCTGGAACCAGAGCTACGGGAGCTACGGCGGCGGTTATGGAGGCGGGTATGGCGGTGGTTATGGAGGAGGCTACGGCGGCTACGGTAGCGGCTACAGCGGCGGCTACGGTCAATACGGAGGCGGCGGATACGGAGGCTATGACTACTACCCGCAGGGATACGACTACGGTACGAACTCCCAGTCGACTCCAGTGAACGAGCAGGACGGTGATTATGATGCACTAAGATATAAACATGTTCAGAGCAGTTGCTCAGCTTTGGTGGTGGCAAACCCCGGCCTAGGGGCCAGATGTGGCCCTTACACGTTTATATCAGTCCCAGCGCGCTCTTCAGTGAAATGTATATTATTAAAACTATTTAGATCAAGAAATGCAAATGGTTTGTGCTCGGTGGCGCATTGTTCCGGCTCGCCTGGAACTCTCATAGATCTACGGGAAACTCTCCTGTATTTGGGCATCGTCTGGTCCACACGGTTCTGCGCAGTGGATGATCTCCCATAATGCATTGCGCCAAATAGGCACATGTGGCTCTCACGCACGTGCACAGAGGGTCTCACGCACGTGCACAGAGGGGCTCGGCTGCGCTCTGACCAATCAGAGCTGCTCAGAGCCGGAGTTAGAGCCAGAGCCAGACGAGCAGAGTTTGTGGCACTAAAGTGTGGATTTAAACAAAACCGAAGGATTTAAGAAGAAAAAAAGTTCAGGACGACAAGGGACACTAACATCCCCACAAAATCTGACCTTTATGAAAGCTGCAGGTTCTCTGTCGGGTTCTCTGTCGGGTTCTCTGTCAGGTTCTCTGTCAGGTTCTGTCAGCTGAGGTCGAGCTTTTTTAGTTTACATTGAGTTCTATGGGGAAAATTTCTGTGTAGCCCACGTGAATATAGTCTGGTCTAGGACTGATTTAAGCTGCAGTACCGCGGGTGGCCTCTAGTTCTTGCCGTCACTGATTTCAGCTGCAGTACCGCGGGTGGCCTCTAGTTCTTGCCGTCACTGATTTCAGCTGCAGTACCGCGGGTGGCCTCTTGTTCTTGCCGTCACTGATTTCAGCTGCAGTACCGCGGGTGGCCTCTAGTTCTTGCCGTCACTGATTTCAGCTGCAGTACCGCGGGTGGCCTCTAGTTCTTGCCGTCACTGATTTCAGCTGCAGTACCGCGGGTGGCCTCTAGTTCTTGCCGTCACTGATTTCAGCTGCAGTACCGCGGGTGGCCTCTAGTTCTTGCCGTCACTGATTTCAGCTGCAGTACCGCGGGTGGCCTCTAGTTCTTGCCGTCACTGATTTGAGCTGCAGTACCGCGGGTGGCCTCTAGTTCTTGCCGTCACTGATTTCAGCTGCAGTACCGCGGGTGGCCTCTAGTTCTTGCCGTCACTGATTTAAGCTGCAGTACCGCGGGTGGCCTCTTGTTCTTGCCGTCACTGATTTCAGCAGCCACACCCCCCACATAATGCATCCATGCAGTGAGTGCTTTTGTCTTGTGTGTAAACTGGTGTTTTGTGTTTTCAGACCAAGGAAGCTACGGGAAAACTCCACGACGTCACGCGGGCGGGTTCCGGCCGTACTGACTGTGACGATGGGTCAGTGTCACTTTTACACTTGAATAAGCACCAGGGATAAAACACAGACCATGGAAACTCTTAGTGTTAGTTTAGGGAATGGATCAATCAAACCTTTTTTAGAAGCAGTCCTCTCTCCGGCGTTTATCGTTCGACCCAATGAAGCCTGTTGGGCAGAGGTTTCTCTTTACCAGAGTCTGGGACTTCTGGTCCTGGTTTACTGGACCACCAAATCTAGCCATTTCCTCATTTAAGTATATTTTGAAAGAAGCAATAATTTATCCTCCTAAATAACCGTCTTTTACTTTCTCTAGTCAGTCCTGATCTGGTTCTATTTTGTAATATTTTTAAAACAAAAACAGGACCGAAAATGGTTGTACTACATGTTTTAAATCAATAACTCAGATTAAATCGCAGAGAAATCCGAATTATTGCCTTTTAGATGTTGTGCCTAAACCCTCAGCCATAGCGTGCTGTGTCAGAGTGGGTTTTCTCCGTGCGCTCCGGTTTCCCAGTCCCAGGTCAAATGCAGAGAACACATAAGTTTCTTGAATGTTGCTCTTTTCTGTGTTGTTGTTGTTCCTAAAACCAGTTTGTTCCGCTCTTCCAGGACTCCTCTGGGACTGACAGACCTCTTTTTATGACGGAAGACCATTTGTACAGAGCCAACCCAAATGTAACTTAACCATGTCGCTATGTTCTGTTTTCTTTCCATCTTTTTTTTTTTTTTTAAGCTTTATTTTAGTAATGTTCTCCCCCCTGTCCAGTGTCGTGATGTTTCCTCACATTTCCTCAAACGGAAGTGTACATTTTACTGTACTTTTTGGTACCTGTTTTGATTCTATTGTAATGTAAGGGTTGTATTTTACATGTTGGCTTGCTTTACGGCGCAGATACCACGGCCACGTAAACAAGCTTTTTGAGGAAAAAAAAACAGAAAATAAAATGCTTTTTTGAGTAATGTTTATTTTGTTTTCCATGTTTCCGTCGCTCTTACAAGTGTTCTGGGATTAAAACTCGTTCGATCGACTTCTGCGTTTTGTTATGACATTATGGCTTGAAGCTAGCTTTTGGGCTAAGTGACGACGTAAACCTGCACTTCTGGGTCCAGGCTAAAGCTAATAACAACGGTCCATTTTGTTTTAACTGAAAACGACTGCTTCTACAACATTACACTCCCGTGCTTTAAAATAAGTCTAGGTTAGCTAACGTGTGACAACTGCTGCTAGCGTAACGTTAGCATTAGCTTAGCGTGTCAGTTTTTATTGGGTTGATTTGAACAAAACTAAAGCGTTATGTTTAGTCAAAAACGAGGCCAAAGTAAAGTCTGAGCTTGGACCCAGTCGTGAGAAAACGTCTCACTTCTAATGTTATAAACTCTTGGTGTGAATTTTTGGTTCTTTTTTAAAACTAAATGGGTGATTTGGATTGTGCTTTATTTTCATTTCCTAATTCTCACAAATGCCCTAAAAGTGATCAACGCATTTATTTGTGGAACTTGTGCCCCTTGAATTTGACTTTTCTTTGGTTAATGTCACATGTGTTAAATGCTCTCGTTAATGTCTTAGTTCCCCTTTGTCTTAACAGCTGGACGTTAAAAATAATAAAACCTGTTTTATCATTTGCATATTTTATTCTAGTGTCGGCGCCGTAAAGTAGATCTGCGTTCACTCGACTCCTTAAACACAGCTGAACCAGAGGTTGATGGTAGAATTCTTTTCGTTTTAATTGTTAAAAATGCGAATTTGACTTAATTATTACAATTAAAGATATTGTCCATAAACTATCGACGTCATGCAGTGTGTTTCTATTCTGCACAAATTAACCTTTTCTTTCTCTACAGAACGGGTCCAAATGTGTTTAAGCTAATCAGGTGTTAGTTCATATTTAATACAGAAAATAAAACTTCAGTAATGTTTTTTTATGGCATAAAAGTGTTGGCCTCGTTCATGGTCATACCCTCTCGGTGGCTTAGTGGGGAGGAGCTCTGAGTAGAGCCACTTCTCAGGAGAGACTTTGAAGGTCATCTGACGTCCAGGGAAGAGTCAAACACTGGAAGCAGAAGGTTAGTCCTTGAAATGTAGAGAAATATTAGAATTATCTACGGAATGACTCAGGATGTGATTAACATGTTTATAAAGAGCCTCTGAAGCCACAGCTGTCCTGAGGCAGACTGAGAGTGACAGGCTCACACCATCCTCTGAAGCCACAGCTGTCCTGAGGCAGACTGAGAGTGACAGGCTCACACCATCCTCTGAAGCCACAGCTGTCCTGAGGCAGACTGAGAGTGACAGGCTCACACCATCCTCTGAAGCCACAGCTGTCCTGAGGCAGACTGAGAGTGACAGGCTCACACCATCCTCTGCAGCCACAGCTGTCCTGAGGCAGACTGAGAGTGACAGGCTCACACCATCCTCTGCAGCCACAGCTGTCCTGAGGCAGACTGAGAGTGACAGGCTCACACCATCCTCTGAAGCCACAGCTGTCCTGAGGCAGACTGAGAGTGACAGGCTCTCACCATCCTCTGAAGCCACAGCTGTCCTGAGGCAGACTGAGAGTGACAGGCTCTCACCATCCTCTGAAGCCACAGCTGTCCTGAGGCAGACTGAGAGTGACAGGCTCTCACCATCCTCTGAAGCCACAGCTGTCCTGAGGCAGACTGAGAGTGACAGGCTCTCACCATCCTCTGAAGCCACAGCTGTCCTGAGGCAGACTGAGAGTGACAGGCTCACACCATCCTCTGAAGGCGTCGGACTGTGTCGGAAAAGAATGTGCAATTTTAAGTTTGTAACAAAAGATAAATATAAAAGCCCGACTAAGCCCTTTCTCATTTGTGATGAGTTATTACAGAATGAAACGTATCACAGGTACCATTGGATATTAACACTTTCTATCATTCGCCAAAACACATTTTTATCAGTTTTAGAAGTTGTTTAAACGATAATACAATATGTATAAACAGCAGCTGTGAGTCTGAGGTGGTCTGCAGCACAGGGGCCCCTCAGGGCACTGTCCTCACCAGCAAGACCAAGGAGATGGTACCTGTGCTCACATTAACAATAAACTGGACTGGTCCATAATACCAACGCCCTGTACAAGAAGGGCCAAAGTCTCCTCTTCCTTCTGAGGAGGCCGAGGTCCTCAGCACAGACTGAACAAGCTGCTCAGGAGGAGGTGAGGGACAGGAGGCCCCTGGACTCTGTGGAGGAGGTGAGGGACAGGAGGCCCCTGGACTCTGTGGAGGAGGTGAGGGACAGGAGGCCCCTGGACTCTGGAGGAGGTGAGGGACTGGAGGCCCCTGGACTCTGTGGAGGAGGTGAGGGACAGGAGGCCCCTGGACTCTGTGGAGGAGGTGAGGGATTAGAGGCCCCTGGACTCTGTGGAGGAGGTGAGGGACAGGAGGCCCCTGGACTCTGTGGAGGAGGTGAGGGATTAGAGGCCCCTGGACTCTGTGGAGGAGGTGATGGATTAGAGGCCCCTGGACTCTGTGGAGGAGGTGATGGATTAGAGGCCCCTGGACTCTGTGGAGGAGGTGTGTGATACAAATACAGATGAATAAATGTATTTATAACGGGCCTCTCACAGACCAAGGTCACACATTGTTTATGGAGGACCGATATGATCCATTTGTTCCATCAACCTCCAATCACTCATTACATTTAGAAGAGGAAACTGGAGCACCCAGAGGAAACCTGCGCAGGCATAGGGAGAACGTGCAAACGCCACCCTGAAAAGCCCCGTGTGAAGGTGGAGTAGAAGCCAGGAGGACCTTCTTGTTGTGAAACCCCAGCGCTTACCACTGTGTGACCAAAAATGTTTTATTGTCAATTCAAGGTAAATAAAAAAAATCAATACATTATTTTCACAAGTGAATGGGAACCTCTTTTGTTGTTCCGCTGGAGGAGAAGTTACCGGGAGTTATTACCGGGGACACGCCCCTGTGGCCACGAGGCCTCAGAAAGATGTTGAGAGACGATTTAAATGTTTATTTTATTGAAAATCATGTTAAAAGTTGCGTTTTGTTTCCTTCGGATTGAAAGCCGCAGATGAGGTGAGATTTGGTGATTTTATTTTCTTATGGCTTCGTGAAAGTAGCCTGTATGCTAATGAGGTAGAGCTAATGAGGATACAGTCTATGGATGCCAGGTGTTCGGTGAACGTCATGGATAATAATGTAAAGGTTGATGCCCACTGCTGTATCACTGTTAAACCTGGAGATCCAAGAATAACTTTGGTCTTGAAAGAAACAGGCATGTTTAAGTTCTGGGAGCTAACTTGTTTCCACTTTTATCTTCACATGTTGTTGAGGAAGAAGAGAAGAAGAATGTGTGGTCAATGATCCTCCGTCACAACAATAACATTAAAGATAACAACAGAAGGTGACCCTCTTTACTTTATCTTCACAGGTTGTTGAGAAAGAATTAAATAATCTTTCAGTTATGGTTGTTTTGTAAAGTGCGTGAATTAATGACGGCATCAGTTTCCGTAGTGTAGTGGTTATCACGTTCGCCTAACACGCGAAAGGTCCCCGGTTCGAAACCGGGCGGAAACAAATGTTTTTGGCCCTCGTGATGAACTGAATCAATTTCAGTTTGTTCTAAAGTGATATTATCACGCACGTTAGGTTTTCTGCCGTCCCGTGGTTTCATTCTGGCTCCCCCACTGTAGGCTGGGGAAGGGTTAATGGTAAAACGATTGTTTCAAATATTGTACTGGTTTGTATAAATAACTACAAACTAATGCTATATTTATTGTGTTCTATTCTTTAAGTCAAATCACGCAAGACTGATAACTCCGAGAGGGATTTAAAATACTAGAATCAGGATATCCGCAGGTTGATATTTCGTTCCTGAGGCTGTCAAACGCATGCAGTTTCCGTAGTGTAGTGGTTATCACGTTCGCCTCACACGCGAAAGGTCCCCGGTTCGAAACCGGGCGGAAACATCTTTATTTTATATTTTCCCGATTACATATTTTTCACGGATTAATCCTTAAAGACCAGCCTGGTCGTACCACACCATAGTACAAATTTCATTTTGTACTAAGGTCTGGACTGGCTCCATTGACAGGTGGGAGGGGTTAACGTTAACTCCTTTTGCAGATTGAAACGGATCTGAGTTCACTGTGACGTATGTAATGTGCCCGAGTGAGTTGTTAGCATTTAGCATTAGAAAAGCCATCTCCTTTGCTGCCAACGGAGCCCTTGGGGAGTTGCACCACAATCGTTGCCAGCGATTACATTTGCTAAACATTCCTCTTGCTCCGGCTTCAATGTCTTGATTGAACCAGACCAGAATGCTTTACTATCGCATTCTTCGCCATCACCAAATTACAACCTGCCTGTTCGGCGCCAGCTCTTGACGTCACCCACATCTAACTACAACACCCGCCTCCTGCGCTCTCTGATTGGTCGGATGGAATTCAACCGATTGTAATCGCAAACACCGGGACTAGACCAAGCCCCGGCGATCCAAGATGGCGCCGTATTCAAATGAATGGTTGTGCTCAGTGGCGCTTTGTGACGGCCTGGGGGCTGAAAGATTAGCGGAAGTTGCCTGGAACTCGCAAAGATCCATGGAAAACTTGCCTGTATTTGGGCATCGTCTGGTCCTCCCGGGTTCGGCGCAGTGGATGAACTCCCATG